CCTTCATTTTGATGATGGTTTGAGAACTCCACTCGTCTGTGTGTAACACTGTGTGTCTGTCTTTTGTGTGCGTGAATGCACACAGAATGTGTGTTTAGGTAACTTTGCCTAAAAATGTCCTCCATCGAAGGACCACTTTAGAGGGTTATTATTCTCTATCAAAGGATTCAGAGGCAGCCTCACAATAAGAAAGACTATACTACAAGGGATTAAGTTGAAATTCCTTGTGGAAGTCATGTTCGGGAAAAGACTGTGAGAGTAGCCTAGCTTCATTATAAGGGAATCACAATATTTGAATTTCAAATTGTTAAGAGGCCTTTGGGGTTGAGAAAGCAGGAAATCACCTTATTAATAGATAATTTGCCCATGGAGTGTTTTCTACATAGACTAGTTTCATAATGAAAGGATTTCAATATTGTGAACATCCTTCTCTTTAACACTTTGGAGCTGTCAAAGAGGCCGACTGAAAAATGACAATAATGGATTGCCTGTTGGCCCCCCTCCTGCCACACAGCACCCAGAAAATGTTTGAGGAAAGAGGGGGAATTTTCAACTGAAGACTAGACAATTTTAAATGCCTAGCATGAAAATTCATGTGAGTAAAACATCTATTACAAAATCAAGGAGCTACAGCTATAATACAGAAAGTTGTCTTTTAGGGTACTTAGTATATTTCAGTCCTAGAGCACACATTACATGCACACAGATAAACACTATACACACGTGCATACATATATACATCACACACAGACACACAAACACACACACACACACTATGAGGACATTTCAAAGTGACATAGCACCCAACTGGAAGAAGTGTTGATGGCCAAGGTAGAAATTTTTGAGCAATAAATGAAGATGCAATGTCATATTTATATTCCAAAAGCTGAAATACATATCCATGAATCTATACTGGTATAAACAAGTGACAGGATAGACAAATCCTCCATGCAGAACTACAAATGATTTATGAAAATACCCACCCTTCACAAGGTAGGGCCTCACTCCCCAATCCTTATGGTAGTAAATAGTGGCTTCCTTTGAAAGAGCACAATATGGAGAGAGGGATAAACAGAAATATGGTGGAAACTCAACAAATAGAACCTCAGTGAGCTGTCCAAATAAACCACAATCATGTGTGTACCCTTGATAGTATGTGGTGAAAACACCATTTTATCCCCAATGTCTTCCTTCCCAAACTTATAGCCCCAGTCAGTAAATATCTTACAAAATACTCAAGTCAACAGTCTTCCCAAACAAGGAAAGTCTGAGACCCAACCCCAACCAAGAGTTTCCTGATTGGTGATGACAGACAGTGTGGTGTCCTGGATAGGATCATGGGACTACCAAAACAGAACATCAGGCAAAATTAAGGAAATCCAAATTAATAATAGCACACACAATATTGGCTCATTAATTGTGCCAAATCAGCTACCCTAGTGTTCATATGGAAAACCAGGTATGTAAGCTCTTTGTAGCGTCTTCACAACTCTTATAGAAATTGAAATTTACCTTTAAACAAATGTTTATTGATAGTTAACATACATGTTTGAGGGTTGTACAAAAACAAACTTTGGACAATAGTTTGGCCCATAGGCCCTAGTGTACCAATCCTGGTCAAACTTGGCTATTTCTCTTCTCTTTCTTAAGTTTTGGAAAGGGTTGTGGTTGAGGAATAATTCTAACCATATCAGGGCTGACTGAATCTAATCAGGAAGAAAGCCCAAGTCTATGCCCTTATTATTTGCATAATAAAGCTTCACTGGCCCCTGCTCAGAAATCTCTAATGATTTTCAAAGTATTCTTAGGAAGTCCTGGGAGATTTCCTCTAAGTCCACCAACCACCGCCAAACCATATGCTCACCACTAAAATCAAGAGAGGCTGGCAAAGTGGTGTCTGCCATCTTCAGTTTCCTGTGGCATTAGAAGTGAGGGAAATGTCTGGGGGAAGAGCAGCCAATGATGTCTGCAGGCTTCTGCTAAGTGGTGGCTTCTATGTTTACCATTATTTAGCATGTATCTCTTTTCTTACAGTTTTAATGTTTGTATCTATAAACTATAAAATCCTTTAGCAGTCAAACTTACGACTATAGGCTATGCACAAGTAGTTCATACCTGTAATCCTAGCTACTCAAGAGGCAGAGATCTAAGGATCACAGTTCAAAGCCAGTATGGGCAGGATAGACTGTGAGACTCCAATCTCCAATAAGCTACCAAAAAGCTGGAAGTGGAGCTGTGGCTGAAGTGGCAAAGAGCTAGTCTTGAGGGACAAAAAAAGCTCAGGGACAATACCAAGATTCAAGCCCAGGCTAATATGTGTCTATGTGTGTGTGTGTGTGTGTACATATACATATATATACACATATATTTATTATTTCAATATATTTATACCTAAAATTTGGGGGACTTGTGTTTTGTTCAATGTGTGTGTGTGTGTGTGTGTGTGTGTGTGTGTGTGTGTGTGTTTTCTTGACTTACAACATCATTTAGGAAAAAAAACCAAATCACTCTCCCAAACAATCCATAGTTCTGGAGAAAATTATAGCCAAAAAAAGCAATTAAAAAATGATAGTTTCATGAGATAAATAGGAAACCATAGGGTGAACCATGCGTTGATCATTTCAAGCTTGGTGATCTGAAGTTCGAAGGTCCAACCTTCACTGTGAGAGACTTTGATACACCTAAGTTGTTAAGCCCTTGGGAGTAACTTACCTGTATTCACTATTTCCTTGCAAGACGACTTGGGAAACCTTCCCCCCCCTTCCCCTCTCTCCCCCACCCCGAGCTAGAGCCTTTGTAGCCTCCCTTCTAGGTGTCAGCAGCCTCGTCCTCACACAGCCCTGCCTTGCCCTTTGAAAGTCCATCTCGTAGAACAGGGCTCATCCAACTCCACTACATCTCAAGCCCATCGCCAGCTCAGGTGTCCTGAATAGAAGTTTCCTTCTGCTTATCAGGATCTGATTCACAGGCAGTGTAGAGTGACAACTTCAGCAAGACCATCGAGTGCTTGAGGCCATGCTCAGAGAAGGTACTGTGTGCTATGGACTATTAGCAACGTTCCACAAGCACTACAAACCATAGTCAGGCATTCACCATCAAAGCAGGCATTAACCTACTCCATGCTGATGCAGGCATCCAACATGAGAATGAAACCAATGACAGTGGCAGGGAGCTTGTGCTGGCTGCTAATGTGCTAAGTCCACCGGAAGTGACCTTTGTTGTTTAGTTCTCATAGCTCCCCTCTCAGGAAGGTGCTCAGCATCCTCATTTTCCAAATTGGGAAGCTTAGGCCCAGGCCAAACCCACAGTCATCATCCACAAGATGGTTGTGGCAAGGTTCAGATCCCCTCTGCTATGGTAAGTGCCGAGTTCACCTTTCCTTCACCATGCTCTCTGAAAGCTAATTTCATATTTATCTGGGTAGTGGATGAAGGTCTGGTTCAAAGAACGCTTCAGATTCAAGAGCCAGAATCCTCTTGGGTGGCTGGCACAGAGCTCAGTGAGACGAATGCTATCACCAAGTGGACAAACAAATGGGCAAGTATTTGTCAACATGCTCAGTCCACAAGGCTCCACCTCAAGGTGGAATTAGTTAGCTCCATAGTTTCATTGAAAATGACAAATTGTGATTGATAAAAGGACACAGAGTTTTTCAAACACAATGCTTCTTTAAAGGGCCTCATGCAAATGAATTTAAGCATTTGGGAGACTGAAAATGATCTCAGAGCAGCTTTGAAAAGGAAACAAAAGAGACACGGTAGTGGAGTGGATGTTGGCGTGGGGAGCACAGAGGATCGTTGGGAAATGGAGCGTGACCAGCCCCTGAGTTTCCCGCATGCATCCTGATGTAGGGCCCCAGGTTTGTCGATAGTAACCAAGAGCTATGTGGTACTCTGCTGTGTGTTCTCATGGCTGCTTCACTGATAGAGTTAATATTTAGTTCTTACTTTACTTCCAAACACTTCAACTAAAAATATTAGCATGCACTGTATCATTTAATAATCACAGTGTGGGTGTAATGCTATGTCATTTGTAAGATGAGGGACAGATGTTCTGAGGGTAGAGAGGGAGAAAAGCATCTTACATTATTCTCTTGGCTGAAAACCCTCCCTTGCATCTGATTTCAGGATGTCTCTTGGTCTAACCAAATGGTTCCATGAATATGTTATTCTTTTCGGTGAGTCTGGGATTTCTACGCAGCATTTGGAGGACAATGTGAAACTGGATGCATATGGCAACAATCTGCTGTGTTTCTAAAGACAAGGAGCCATTTTACTGAGGCCATTTCACTGACTTCCAAAGGAGAGCGGAGGAGAAGCTCACACTCAAGGCCGCAGAAGGCTCCACCTCATCCCCGCAGTGTCCTGTATCTCATGTACCCCAATATTGGCAAAATCTGCAATGCCCTGTCCAATTCAGAGGCACTGGTTTAGATGGTGATCATGGTGACTCTCTTTCTGCCCTTCATGCTGACCACAGGCACTGGGCATCAAGGAAGACCTCCAGAGGGGCAGGTAAGAGCTTTGGTAGCAGTCACAGGTACAGTAATAAAACACCCAGTGTGGGCTAACTTGATGAAGGAAAGGAGTTTATGAACCCCACGGTTCTGAAGTTTTAAAGTCCAAGGTCAGGAGGCCTCTGCTGAGAGGACAGCCTCACAGTGGTGACAGCGGTGGGGGAGACAGTGGCCACAGCACCACTAAAGGAAGCAGAGAGAGAAGGAAGCCAGAGAGAGACCCACGCTGTGTCCCTCCGGAGAGCTCCTCAAGATGTAAGGACTCCGCACCTCTTCGGGGTCCCATTACCTCCACACCACCCTACTGGGTCCGAGTTTCCAAAACATGGATCTTTGGGGGCCACATCCAAACTATATCCAAGCCAAAGCAGACTTGTTTTTTAGAGTACTTAAAATGTAATAAAGAGTGGTTTTGTCTGACAATCAATATCAAATCCCAAACGTTTTATATCCTTTTAAAAGAATGAAAGAGACGAGGACATCCTTGACTTGCTAACATTTATTCAATATTCTTTGAAATTAGCAAGAATCAGAAGAAAGCACGTATCAATCAAATACAGCCACAAAAAGAAATGTCTTGAATATAAATAAAGATGCACTATGAGAAATACTACTGAAGAAAACCGGTACTCTCTTACGTTAACTACCTTTACCAACAAAGAACTTGAACGCAAATTTAATTCACTCACAATATAAAAACCTTGACTGCTAAAAACAAAACAAGAAAAAAAAACAGAAAACAAAAAAACCCCTACAGATTGAAATCAGTCATAATACACCTCAATAGGCCCTTTTGTTATCTATATTTTCAAGGCCAAGTTCAACAACTGTTACGAAATTGACAAAAACAAACTGTATCAAAAGAAATGTTTCTGCAGAGTTCAACCAAACAGTGCAGAAAGAAGTTACTTTTACCCATGCACAGAATAAAGCAAAGGCTAATTCCATTCGGGTTAGGAATAATAAATTGAAACTAGCTTCTTTTTTCACAAAACAAACATTTCAGACTTCTTTTGAAGGAACGGGTATATGGTATTATGCATCATACTCTACAGGTTCTCCTAACTCTACTCAGAAAAGCCAGCACTCACACAGCGAAAGGAAACTTCTCCTTGATTAGACTTGTCCTGCAACCACCACATGGGTTAATCTGGCTTCATGGTGCGGTCTACCATGAAAATAGCACACACTAGTAGGAGCGTATGGTGTAAGACAGCTAAGATGTACATTAAAACGTGGTCTAGAGGCGTCACAAATTATCTGTTGTTAAAATACCTTTTCAAACTAAGGGCTGCAGAAAATTAGTTCTTCAATAGTCTAATGAAAACTCTTGGAGCAGCTAACGTTTTAAATTTCTTAAGCTTTTAAATTTTCTTAAAAATATTTTTAAATGATCGTCGTATCCCATCTGTTTTGGAAAAATAATCCAAAAAAAAAAAAAAAAAAGAGGAGGAGGAAGAAGAAGAAAGATTACAAATCTTTTGTTTTAATCAGCGTGACCAGGGGCTTGTCGTCGGGGCTGTAATCCTCGTAGGCGATGGGAGTCACGTCATACATCGCGGGCCGGGACTTCTTTCCAAACCTGAAGCCACAGACAGAAAGGGTGCTGGTTAGAGTGATACTGGGCCCCAAGGTGAGTCTGAGAATGACTCGAGTCAAGAATCCAGTGGAATTATAAAAATACTCTGAAAATACAGTCTGAGGCTAGAACAGAAATTTCAGACATCCTGATATTAACATTGAACAAGAACAAATATTAGTCTTTGGCGCAAGAGAGAAGCAAAAAAGAAAATATGAACTTCACAAAATATACAGTCCAAATGAACGATGACACCTCTGAGTTAAATCCTGGCCAAGCAGCCAGCCAGGCACCGTGGCTCCAAAACAGGCTTTAAGAAAGCACGTATGGATTTGTCTTTTTCATATTTGGGGATGCAGGTTTATTTTACATACACTCCAGTGGTTGGGATACAGAAAGCCGAGTTGGCTGCCCCTGGGTGGCGGGACAGACGGCCTCTCTCTTGGGAATTTTCAGGAATAAGCTTTGAAGCCTCTGAGATCTCAACCCAAGAGGGGCAGAGAGAGGAAGCGACGTAAAAGACCACAGTTGCTGGTGTCCAGCCCCGGCCTGATATTCACGGTTAGCTGTCACCCACCCAACCCCTCCCAGCACAAAGCCACCATTCCAGCACATGTGTAGATATGGAAATTCACTCCACAGCAGCACTGATGGGTGTCCAAGAACCAGAGCAGTCAACATCCAGGACTTTCTGCCAAACCAATTTAAAATGGTAATTACTAAATGAAAGTCAACTTCTGGGTGGGCTCTTCTGGTTCAAGACCTGCCCTGCCCTACGGCCTTTGGAGTACGCGGGTGAAATACTCTTCTACACAAACCCAACATCACTCCTCTTTTCTTCTTTTTTACTGGCAGCATTTTTTTTTACCACTTCCATGCCCAACAGAACTCATTACGAAGTGCACATCTGCCCGATGACAGTTAACAAGCTGGTCTCCTAGAACACTGTGGTTTTTAGACACCCAGCAAACCAAGACTCACAGTTGGTGTTCAATAAATGTGGAGTCCCAGCCACACTGAAAATTGGAGCTGCCTTTCACATCTCCTTTGTTCCAAGAACCGGGTGGATGTTAGGAAAGCAAGTTCACACTCATAGAAGCTAACATGCCGACAGAGTTTAGTTAACCAACTTAACCTCCACTAATTCAGAGGTTGCTTATTTTACTATAGGATGTTTTATACGACTGTTCTTTAAAACACACTCGTGGGAGGCAGAGCCATGTCGCTTCTGGGCCTGGGTTCTGGGAGCTTCGCCACGGCCTTCCTGCATGGGGAGCCCAGGAAGCATGTGTCCAGAATGCCTACAGACGTCACTCGGGATCAGCAAACCTGCTCCCATCCTGGCTTTCTCCCTCAGTGATCCTGTAAATCACCTTCTCTTACTACACTCAAATGCTTTTCATGTATAATATGGAAGTCATGGTACACATGTGCTAGGGTGTTTATGATACCCCTGCAAGAGAGTTCCCTGGGGAAGATGGAGCAGGAGGCCTGGCCCGAAGGAAGTGCTGGGTAACCGCCCGCCATCCTGGGTTGAAGTTCCCGGCACCAGCAGATGTAACAGGGCTGCCACCTTACACTTGACCACAACTCTGTGTGCATCGTTCTCTAAAGTCATAGGCACATCACAGTGCTCATTCATTCAGAGTCTCCTGAAAGTCCGCAGCTCAAACAGTATAGAGAGGAGTGTCAGGTGGAAATGATTGTGATTGGCTCCCTCCTACCTGTAAGCAAAGCACCTGCGTGACAGACGGGGCTGAAGATGAAAGACTCAAGTGTGTGTGCCCACATGTGTGCTCACCTGTGTGTGCATGTCTGTGAGTAAGAGTGCACAGGTGTGAGTGTATGTGTGTGTGAGAGAATTGTGTGAGAGAGACTCCTACTCAAAGCAGACCAGTACCCACTGACTTACTGCCAACATCAGAAGTACCAGGCAGGGGACTGGGAAGATAGCTCAGTGGTAGAGTGCTTGCCTCACATGCATAAGGCCCTGGGTTCGATTCCTTGCACCACACAAACAGAAAAGGCTAGAAGTGACACTGTGGCTCAAGCGATAGAGTGCCAGCCTTCAGCTGAAGAGCTGAGGGACAGCGCCCAGGACCAGAGTTCAAGCCCCATGACAGACAAAAAAAAAAAAAAAAAGTACCAGGCACCTCCTGAGTCTCCCATCTGCTACCCCTCCACGAGTCCACGAGGGATAGGAGGCAGGGCGTGAAATGGACATAAACTAGAGGCCACCACTGGAAACGAGGGAGAGGAACATCCCGAGGACTGAGTTCCGCCAGCGCCTTTCTCGGGCTAGATTTCTCCGCAGTCACTTGTGTACAAGGAGCTTGCTGCTTAAGAATTACACAAGTCAATATTGTTTTACAAAAATAGGTTCCCAAATAAGAACCAGGCATGCAAATGCATGTTCTTTTCTGAGAGAGAACTCAGTCAAGGAATTCAGACTAGCTGAATTCCAGAGCACCCATCCTTAACCCCTCTGTGGCTAAACTAAAGCCTCCTCCACGTGAGCCCTGAAGGCTCTTCGCTCTGGATGTCTCTTGGGTGGAGGGAGGCTGGTCTCCTGGGTCTCCCGATACATCAGAACATAGAGATATGGATGCTGCTCCTTGGTGATGAACTAAGCCCCTGAGAGGACAGAGCAGACAGCTGATCAGACCTCCACCCTTTTGCTGTCCTCGGTCAGTGATTTAGGATACTGCAGATCCTCACCGAGGCTGGTGCCAGGAACTGAGCTGGGATGAATCGGCCTCCCAAGCGAAGTCAGACAGCCTACGCCAACCCAAGCTAAGATCACCTATTCATTTCAGACCTCAGAGTTTCACAACGCTCGCTGTGTGCCAAGATCCAATGGAGACAGAAATAAAGGGAAAGACTCAAATAAGCAGCCGAGGTTGGGACAGCAGGGGTTTGTCTAGGACTTCCTGGAAGACCAGAGCTGACACTGAGGGAGCAAGTCAGATGAATAGCGTGGCGGGGGCGGGGGAGGGCGGGGGGGGGGGGGGGGGGGGGGAGACAGGGGTCCTGAGATGGAAGAATCCTTTCTCTCTACTTCCCCACAGTGACCTGAGCGAGCCAGAGTGCTGCTCTAACTGCAGCCCACACCCAGGGGCTCTGCCGCTGCCACCAGCTTCTCCCCAGACACAGGTTCACCCGCTGGCTTCTCATTTTGCTTTGTTTACAATGAATGCATGCATCCATTTAATTTGTGATGGCTTGTGGATATATATATATATATATATATACATATATATGTGTGTGTGTGTGTGGAATATGTATAATATATATGCAATTTACAATAAGTATAATGTATAGGTAATATATATATATTATATTATACATATTTGTAATATTGTGTGTATGATTTTTAATCACTATGATTTATTTGCAAATCACTAGAAGGTTGGAGATTTGGGTTTGGGGACATTCTTTTTGAGAAAACAAACTCTGAACCTCTTAGTTTCTGTCTCCATGCACACAGAATTTGGGTCTGTGTGAGTCTTGATCAGTAGGAGCACAAAGCCATCGCTACCATGGCCCACTCTCAAGACACCCAACTCAGCACACTCTTCACTACAGCTCACTGGCTTTCAGAACTGTGTGCTTCTGGTTGTTCTTTCAATTAATACAAAAGACAGTATCATCTATCAAGCAGTAGCTGATGCTAGGGTCATAATAAGTGGATGTGGAATATTTATAATTTAGTAAGCTGGCCCTAGCTCTCTGAGGAGGAGGTCTCCTTTTCTCTGGGGAGGGAGCGTTATGAGGGAAAGACTAAGCAGTCTAAGAGTCTAAGGTGGGGAGGGGGGATGGGGTGAAGGCTTCCTGCCATTTCTTGGGTCTTAACTCCGCCCCACCACCAACCTCTCCCCCCTGCGGATGAGGGCATGCCTTCTAGAATGGGAGCTCTCCAGTGGGCTGAGAGCTACTCAGCATTATTCGTGCAGACCCTTCAGTCACGCTGGCTATTTGAAGAGCAAGAGTTAAAATATTCCCGAAATAGAACATCAAAAACTGTCCCGACCTGACATGAAGAAGCAGGTATTTATAGTCACTGATCAGTGCACATTACATCGATGGAAGCAAAACATAACAGAGGCCTAGCAGGAAGTTTACAGGGGAGGGCGCTCATGAAGTGGACTTCCAGACCTCGTATGCAGACTCTTCACATCCTTTCCACACCCCCGGGTGCGCAGGGTGCGCAGGGGGCAGCCTTGCCCCTCCTCCTCTCCTGCCCCCGCCCCCTGCCCGCCCTCCCCCTCCCTCTCCTCCCACCCCTCTTTTCTCCTGTCTCTTCCCTCCCTCCTGTCCCTTCCTCTGTCCTGATCTCCCCTCCCCATCCTCCTTTCCCACTTCCTACACCTTCCTCCCCTCCCCGCTCTCTCCTCCCCTCCCAGCCCTCCCTTCCTCTCCCCTGCCCCCCCTCCTGCCCCCCCCATGCCCACCTGGCGTGCCGGATGGAGGCGATGGCGTGGCTGAACTCGCCGTCGATGCTGCGGCAGTTGTAGAAGTCCTCGTAGGCCGGCCGCGAGGAGCCCTGGTACTCGATGCGGCTGATGCGGCAGATGCCGACGATGAGGATGATGAGCATGAGCACGAAGGCCACGCAGAGCGCGCCGATGATGACGTACAGCGAGTGGCGGGGCATGTTGCTGAGGCTCTCGGCCATGTGCCCCGACTTCCACTGCAGGTCTGCGGAGAGAGCAAGCGCGGTGAGCAGAGCCCTCTCCACCCTGCTCCACTGACCTCCCCAAGGGCCAGCGTGCCCGCGACCCGTCCGGACCCGGGGCTGGGGGCCTCCATACAGGAGGATCACGTGCAAAGCACCAAGAAGGAGACACGAATACACCACACAAAGAAACGTGGGCAGAGGATGGGAAGAGGAATGCAACAGGCAGTTGTTTGGGCTTCATAATGACATTTTCAAATGAAATTACCCAGCCAGGCACCCACTTGTAAACCCAGCTAGTCAGGAGTCAGAGACAAGATAGTTGGAACTGATGGAGGGGATGGATGTTATGTGCAGGAACCCATCACAAAGACCTGGGCACGGTGGCACAGACCTGTAATCCCAGCAGTTCAGAAGGTCCAAGTAGGAGGCTGGACAGCAAAAACGTGAGATTCTAAAAATGAATCTAAAAGCCTAGCACTTTTGAGTGGTAGAACCCTTGACCAGCAAGTGGAAGAAGTTATTGGTAGAAACACAGCATAGATGCGGGAAGAGGGTAGCCTCTGGGATCACACCAACCTTGCTTTCCATCCCAGCTCCCGCCTTTCATAGAGCTCCCCACCCTGGCTGTTCATTTGTAAGATGGCTTACTGTGAGTTTAAAACAGTAAGAACGTTTAAAACAGTAAGAACTGAAATGGCACTTCATAGGTGGTTCCTGTGGTGGAGCAGCTGAGGTACTGGAGGGGGAGGGACCTCGTGAGAGGACAAGCCCTCCTCTCAGGCAGGTGCTCAGAGTTGAGGGGGGTAGCCTTCCTAATAGCTCCAGCCTGCACTAGGAGGGGAAATGGAAGGGCAAGCTGTAATCTCTGTGGTTGGCATGGTCAGTCCTGTCAAATTACATCCTGTTGACAGACTCATACACAACTGGAAAGGGGAAGAGGATCTGAAAGGAAGCCATGTAAATTTTAAAAATGCCAGGGAAGACCAAAAAGAAGCTGAGCTCATGCGGAAAAGAAGAGGCCTTCTCTTCTCAATTCACACTTACTCCCTGGTGCCACACCCTCCAGGCTGTCACTTTCACGGTGTCTAGATACAGGATGCAGAGAGGGGGGAAACAGGAACAAGCCTGTTTTCCCGTGAAATCCTCAGGACTCTTCTTGCTATTCTATTTTAGGCCCAAGAGTTATTTGTGGCGTCTGGATCCTCACTACTTCTATCTTAGCTACATCTTCAGGGAGTCTGAGAATCAGCTATACTAGACCTTGAAAAGTTAGAAGCTGAAGAACAAGGTAGATGCCCTCACCAGAGATCAGGCCTAGAGACATACTTCCTTGAAGTCCACCAGAAAAAGGACCCTGCCTGACCTGGATGCTTCCTGAGAACCCAAGAAAAAATGGGCAAATGAAGTCACTTCCAAGTTTGTGATCAGAGCCTCTGATTCCTGATTACTCTACGGAGACCTGTGAAACCTGTTTTTGCCATTCAATTCTACCTGCCCAGCCCCTTTACGACAGCTCTTGGAGCTTAGTAAGACTAACTTAGCATCAGTACACTCACTGCTCCCTGAGCCAAATCACACACAGACAGGGAGAGCCATGTAAATCACCACTAGTAAATAGTCTTGATGGAAGGGAGGTGATTTGTGAAGCCAGCACCCGGGCTCAGTCCCCAAACCAGCAGCCATTTCATTTGGCAATACCTGCTGCATGCTGAGAGAGACAACTCATTTTTCAGGCTGAAAAAGTAAGTATGATTCACTTGATTTCCAACTATTATAACACTGCTTTAAAAAATTCAGGCTGGAGTCCAGAGCACAGCAGAGAAGGCTATAACATCCATTCTGTGTCACCACGAGGGCTGCCTTTGCTCCAGCTTGGTACAGAGCACGCAGATCTGGGCACGAGGGAGGACCGCACCGTTTCTATGCACACACCTGGTCAAATCACTTCCCCCCTCTGATGGACGGTGTAGAAGCAGTGAGTCCACAGCCACATGGCCGCTACTGTGAAGGAGCAACTGTGTTGCACCGTGCGTGCGGTGTCCCAGGTCTGCCAAGCGGATTCCACTGTTTGCATTTCTCCCCATCTGCTCATTTCTCAAATATCGGTGTTCAAAGCTGTCTGCGTTTGAGTTTATCAATGTCTTTTAAAATCCTGTGCTTTCCTTCCTCCCCGCTTCTCTTCTTCAAAGCTAGATCCTACTTTGCTGTCATCTACAGCATTCCTAATAGAAGTTGAAGGAGACTGCTTGGCAGGCAGGAGGATTGGTCTAGTAGCCAGGCTGCATTTGAATGAACCTCTAGCACTTGTGTCTGAGCGGTAGTAACTATGTCTGCACCAGGTGGCTGACAGTGCTGTCTCCCAGGCCGGGCGCCATCCTCGTAACTCATCGCCTCCCTGCGGCCTGGCAGCCCCATCACATGAGTTAACTGTGTTGGCCACAGCCCAGCACTGGGAAGAATCCTGAAGCGGAATGTGCTATGCGGGATGAGCTCACGGCCCCAGCAGGTGCACGACCAGGAGCGTGTGCACAGGAGCTGTTTGGGAAAAAAATACTGCAAATGGGCCAGTTGTGAGTCTCAGAGACCATTTGCATTTCTGTGCCTACCCAATGTGTTTAGGTGTTGTAGTTTCCAAAGCGCTTTTGCTTTGACCATGTTGGTTGGCTCTAAAGGAGCACCTGGAGCTAGGCAGAGGAGCTGGGTGTGCAGCAGATGCTGAAGGAGAAACAGGCTGCCAGGGACACACTGAGAGTCAAACCACACCCACCAGGACTGCACTCAACTGACCTGCAGCATTTATTCCCAAATGCATTGTTGCCCATGTCTAAGTTTCTAAGCTTATCATACTGAATACAGAGGGAAGAGTTTATTGTTCACCTACATTATTTCAAAAGAGAATGAAGGTCAGGTGCTGGTGGCTCACACCTATAATCATGGTTCAAAGCCAGCCTGGGCAGAAAAGTCCATGAGACTCTTATTTCCAATTAACAACCAAAAATCCAGAAGTGGAGATGTGGCTCAAGTGGTAGAGCACCAGCCTGGAGCAAAGAAGGCAAGTGAGAATGTGAGGTCCTGAATTTAAGCTTCAGTCCTGGTACACACACACACACACACACACACAGAGGCAAACTCAATTACATTATGTTTTCCATAAATCCTTCTGCTTGATGACTTTGATAGTCGTCTGTGTCTGTTTTCTGCTTTGGGAACGCGCCTGCTTGGGGGCAATCACGAGCACAGGCACCTGGACCAGCCCAGTGGCCTTGCTCTGCATATAGCTCAGAGGCTGTGGAAGGCCCTGGAGTGCTGGTGAGAAAGCCAGTTCACTTGCACACATCACCCACCCCTCACTTCGCAGTAAGTGCGCGTGCTTGCTGTATTTGTGAGTTCCCTGTGCACATTTCACCTTGAGCTATATTTATGATCCAAAGTAAACATTCTATGTGTCCTGAAGGAAAAGGTACGAGGAAGTCTGCCTTATAATTTACTCACACGTTCTTCTGAGAGTGAAACCTCCAATACTAGAGATCGAAGCAGGAACACTCATCAAGTCCCATGAGAGGTGACAGGACCCTCCTCCTCCCACCAGGTGGAGTTGGTGGCAGGACACCCAGGCCTAGGACCCGCACACACCCCCTGGCCTTTGCAGCCACTGCCTCTATACATAGCCTCACCTTCAGTCACTGGGAAGAGAATGGGAAGAGAACCTCGATCCTCTTTATTACTCCATCATTGGGTACTGAGAGGCAGTGTCCTCGCTACAAGGAAGCGATGCTTATATTTTTCTATACCATAGAATTTGCTTCAAAAAGTATGAAAGCCTGTGAGTTCCTAAATCTTCTAATCTGTACCCTCCTAGTATACTTTCCACAAACACTCTTTTTTATGTTACCAATAGACAATATTATAGCCCAATACGCAAAATTTGTTATTTCAGAAAACTGCTAAGCTTCAGAATGAAAGGGAATCACATGCTACGGATAAGTAAATTAAGGCTGTTCATGGCTAAGTTCAGTCACTCAGTGAGCACCATGACCAGGTCCCATGGACCAAAATCGAGATCTTTTTCTCCAGCAGATTCCACTAGCCCACACTCCACACTGTGATGTCTCACACTGGTTCATAGCCTTTAATCTTTTGTTAAAAATTATTGGAACCCTTTTTCATCCCCTGACACACACACACACACACGCATATATGCATGCACACACACACACGCACACACACACACACACACACACACACACACACCTCTCTCTCTGCAACAAAGGAGTACTTCTCACCTTCTTTTTTAAGCAAGGAAAGTTGGTCCTCCTAAGACTATTCTGCATAGGGTCATTTTGGAAGGCCTAAAAATACTTTATCATGTGTCTTCTCATGCCATGAACCAAGAGGAAAAGACAAAGAGTGAAAAGATGAAATATCAAAATGATGTTCGAGACTGCGCTTCTTCTTGAAGAAAATGTGCTAACACTGACCAGTCCCACCTCAGATACACACCAAAAATGAATGACCCCTGCCCTGCTATGAGCAGTGCTAGACCAAGAAGTGAGGGAGGAAGAGCAGCAGATAGGCCAATTCAAGAAGACAGACAGATTTGTATGTAAACTTGCTTGCCTCTTTCGAAATTCATGCAGCTAATGAGCTATTTTTTGGGGGGTGGGGGGTCCGGTCATGGGGCCTGAACTCTGGGCCTGGGTGCTGTCCTCAGCTCTTCAGCTCAAGGCTAGCGCTCTACCACTTGAGCCACAGCGCCACTTCCGGCTTTTTTCTTTTTGCTTATGTGGTGCTGAGGAATCGAACCCAGGGCCTCGAGCATGCAAGGCAAGTGCTCTACCACTGAGCCACCTTCCCAGCCCAACTAATGAGCTATTCTTGCCCATTAGAGTAGAGGAGGGTAAGAGGGCCCAGAAGGGTCACCTTTGGAATAGCATTCCTGCAGGGAGAAACATCTGGAATGGGAAGGCCTCCCCCAGCCAGCATGGTTCCAGGTCTTGTATTGTGGAAGACAAAAGTGCCCCCTAAGTAATTTCTAAGAAGAAAATACCCTTCACCATTGAATTTTTAGCCATTTCCAAAACAACAGAAACTACAATTCCCTGTTCCCATTCTCACCACCTTCCTGGGAGATGCACCTTCACCTATGATCCTGACATAGAAAAAACATTATCTTCTGTATGTTCACCCCTAGCCCAAACCTTAGTTTGAAGCAGCTATGTTTTTCAGTTTTTCTTTCAAACTCATCCTGGCTGAACTTTTCTCCAGGCAATGGACAGAACCTACGTATGTTTGAAAATATAAATGCAAAGTGAATTTATATCCCAGGTTGCTTTGTAAAAATTCAGCACAGAGACTGCAGTTGTTTTTTCTGTGTGTTTTTAATATGATTCTAATGCTTTCTCTGGTAAGCACATTGTTGGCTGCCTGAGTAGCAGTGAACTCTGGATGACATCTGAGGATACTTGTCCCCATGGAAAGGCAATCCCTCCCCCAAAAAAGGAGTGGAGCAGGCATAATGCAGAAACAGAAGGACTCCACTGGGACTGACGGCTGCAAGGGCCACTCGGGTGATCCTCCCGCGCCTCTCATGGTCAGTGAGGACGGGGGGGGGGGGGGGTGGTTTGTCCTGTGGTCACAGTGGAAAATGCAGTACTACGTAAGAGATGGCGAGATACTTACGGATTTCACAGTTTGCACCCACCCAGCCGTGAGGACAGTGGCAGGTGTAGCCGTTGGGCTGGTCCAAGCAGGTTCCAGCATGATGGCACGGGTTACTGTCGCATTCATTGATGTCGATGTCACACTCTTCCCCTAGGGAGAAAAGAGAGGGCAACAGTGACACGGCTGTGGTCACCGCCTCTGGTGTGTACCAAGCTCAGGCCTCTCAGAAAATTCCAGAGCAGGGATCTTTGGCTAAGAAAAGCTGCACAAGAAAAGTCTTCCAAGTCTGAAGAAACCTTCCAAGACTGATCTGTAAAGCAAACGTCGGTTCCTAATTTTACTAAAGTCTGTTTGACTTTGGATGGCATCCGCCAAAGGGTGTTATTTATCTCTCTGAAACTCCAAAAAGTGGAAAACTCATAGTTTATGACTATTGTGTAGCTAAGTGCTGGGGAGTGCCAAACTGGATGTTATCTCTTTTCTGGACATGGCTGTGCACTTAGCCTGATTATGAAAATGTGCTTCACTTTCCAAATCCACAGATACATTTGAAGGCTGAAATTCAGGAAGATTGAAAAGCTCGGAGACAATCATGCTCATGGAAGGAGAGATGGCTGCAAAGTATGGGTTTAGTGCAAATCTGACCTAATCTTCCCTTAGAAGCAGGGGGCAGGGGGCATTCATATCTGTTCCAGTATATCTTCTCCTATGGGAAAGAACGTGACCTTGCGTTCCTGACTGTGCTGAGACCATTTCAGGCATCTTTACCTGCCTCTGAGAACCTGGTATGAAATTACAAACCAGAACACATGTCATCCAAAACAAACAGCGACTTGCAGGAAATAGCTTGTTATCAACAGTTACAAGGACAAAACCATCTCCAAGTGATTTCACAGCCATCGCCATGAGTTTATAGACAATGGATGTGCTTCTCGTCAAAGCTCCAGAGGGTGCTTCAAATCAAGGCATTCTCTCTTTAAATAAAAATGTTCAAAACTGAAAAAGAGAAATTTTCAAAATAAGCCCTCATTTGCTTAGATAAATGCTGAAAGGCAGGGAAAACTAAAATGCTACCATTGGCCCCATCAAAGACAATCTAGGAGCAAAATAAAACATTTTACTCCCATGTTCAAGAGACAATATTTCAGCACATTCAGGAATTACTTCCAAGATTGTTTCACATTAAAATCCTTTCCTATCTACTACTGGTTTACCTTGTGTTTCTGAAACCGCCACTGGTCACTCATAGACCACCGTGGAGGAGGAATGACATACTAATCTTTTGAATCTGGTCCATTTCATTGTCTTTATGTAGCTAGAGTCTGCAAATTTCATTTGAGAGTGAAATCTATCAAGTGGACTATTTACTGCTTCTGGGTCATACTTGGTTGACTGTAATACAGTAATATCTAAGTAAATTTGTTTCTTGAAATAGTCATTTATATCGACAGAAAGGACATGAAATTGATTCTTTCTTAGCAGCCTATTCCTGAGGTTGGCTTTGTATTAACGGCATAATCACTCCGAGAAGAAAAGAGGATAGATGGCACTACATGTGGCATTATATGATATGATAGACTAGTTAAAGAGCCATCTCAACCAGCACAGGATGAGAAATGGAGGACAAAAATCAAAGACTTTGTTAGGTCTATACATCAGTACTGCTTCCTAATCCTTTAGGAAGACCAGGTTGATTGAAGCATTTACTAAATAAGCTTACTGTAGCCGGTGATCAGAATACTGCAGATTCTGGAGTGGAATGACCTGCTGCCTGCCCAGAAATGGGCACGCTCCCCCTTGCCTCTGGCAGTCGGTAAACTCAAAGGCCCCATTCTGCTCCAGGAAGTCCAATGTCAACATCCCAGTCTTCTAATTTCCTGAACTCAGCGCTAGTCCCAGAGCTGTCTGTGCTGTCTATTGGCCTGCTCGGCCCACAGCTCCTCAAGGAGCTTGGTCAGGATCAGAGTAACCCGGCATGTATATTAGGTCTGAGATATGACTAAGCTCCTCTCAAAGAATCAGAAGGCTCAGATCCCTAAAACTTCCCGTTCTGGGGACTCGACAGATTAGAAGATAGGAATAAAGATGACAGGAAAAATAGGAAAGAACTCTTTCTATAGGCATCTGTTAAATATGTATGACCCATAAGAATGGAGACCCAGAGATAAGGCTGTACCTATCTGCTGCACAAACATGGCTACTCCAACATGGCGTCCTTAGAGTTGTACTGGGGGAGAGGGGCGGGGGGCGGTAAATGGAGCCAGTCCCTGGGGTCTAATTAGGGAGCATGTTGGTGCTGGCAGACCCTGGAGTAATGCAGAGTTCCAGATCTTTCTACAAGGACTGTACTGGCCTAATTTACAGACTGACACTCCTTACAGTTGAATCAACTGGCTCTCTGTTGGGGGCCATTCTTGTATGCCACGCTGGAGGACTTCAGTGATGGAGCCATTCAAGGAGATTTCAACCAGAAGATGCTCAAGGATGACTGCTATTCTCTGCCTTACAGTGATCGTGATTTCTGTCATCTATCTTCACAAAGTCAAGGTCTATTATAAATTACTGGGAATAAATTTGGCTTCATTTATGATTCTCTACAGCAATAGATAGCATGGGGTCTTCAAAGCATTTCTACACTGACACTCCAAAGCCAATCAATATGCACTTCAGCTGAGTATAGTAGAAGAGTTTTTAAGCTTTTGTTCGCTTAAGACAATTGTCTTTAAGTTAACTTTCTTTCTTCCTATTTTTTCCATCTAAGAGTAAAATCAATTGGTCTTAAATTGTTATTCCTGAATAAGAATGTGTAAAGAGAATACAGAATAATTTTTTTAACTTGAGCAAGGCTGGCAAGGAGGCTCATTCTGAACTTTGACTGTTTCACAATTTCTTCTCAATCTCCTGTTTTCGTCACTGTGTATAGTAGGTATATTTGGTAGTACTTATTCATACAAATATACTGATTAATTCTGTATGTTCTCTTTGAATAAGTTAGGAACAGTAAGAAGAAAAAAAAATCCCAACTAGTAAGACCACTGTTAAGATATTCTTGGGTTAATAGAGTTCACACTGCAAGATGGAATGACAATGTTTGTGATTGCAATGTGCCTTCCATGTGCCAGGCTCTGGGTAAAATGTTTTAGTTACACATCAGGCTTTAGACACAGGTCTTAATAAGCATTTGGGATTTCTTCTGTAATTATGGAATCACTGTCTTAACCCCTCACAATAAACAGCTAGACAACTGGATGGAATATTTTTTTAAACATACACACACACACACACACACACACACACATACACACACACACACACACTTTTAAGCTTTAGATCCTAGGCAGCTCATGACACAGCTGAGCCCCACAATCATTCTTGGTTTTTTCCTGTGACCAATTTGGAACACCATGGTTTCACTAAATTGAGGAGACAAAGGTTGGAGTGTGTGGAAGCCAAGGTAATTTGTAGGGAAGACACAAACCACCAAGAAAAAGAAAAATAAATGCACCAGAAATAGTCTGTGCCCTTGAGTGTGTTGTTGAATACCGTGTGTAAGTTGAAGCTCTTAGGAGACTGGCAAACAAAATACAAGATGAACAGTGAGTGCCCTAAGCTCACAGAGGACAGAGAGTTCCCACCGGCCAGGGTGCAGGGGTTTCATTGGCCACTCGGGACCATCGGCGAAGCCACCCACCATTGAGCAGTAAGGTATAACCACTCTCTAGAACAGAGGTTACTCCAGACTCACCTCCCCAGAACGTCAAGCCCAATTTACAAAGCTCCAATCAGGCTGACAAGTGACCTATCTGCCACAGAGAAAGGCCAGAGCTTAGGAGAAAGAGACAGTCAGATCAAACCATTGAGCAACTTAACCCACCATGACTAGCACCCAAACAATTTTGAAAAAAAAAAGAAAAGGAGTAACATGATAGGAATGCTTCTACCCAATTTCAATAGTCATGTGGCTGCAATAGTTTGCATGAATCAAGGCTGAGTTGTATTGGCAGAGAAACCGACACACAAAGCCATGAAAAACAACAGGAAACTCCAAATAGATCCCACACATATGACCAACTGATTTCTGACTAAGGTTCAAAAGTTAATCAATGAAGGAAAGATGCATAACCTTTCCAAGGAATGGTGCTTAAGAAATGAAACTCTATTTCTCTACATACCAAACAAACAGTGAAAGTGAGAGTGGGAAGAACAGGAGATGTAGGGGAGGGGTGTGGAGGGAAGGGGGGAAGGGAAAGAGAAGGAAATTGAAGCTGCAGTTTGAAGAACCCAGTCTGTTTTAAATCCATTCTGTATGGGAAGCAGGTAAGTGGACTGGGCACTGGTGACACCCACACTTGTAATTCTAGCTGCTCAGGCTAAGATCTGAAGAATGTGGTTCAGTACTAGCCAGGACAAACAAATCCAAGACATTTTTATCAATTAAAAGCAGAAAATAGATGTGTAGCTAAAAAACTAGCCTTGAACAAAATAGCTAACCAAGAATACTGAGTTCAAGCCCAAGTACCAACACCAAAAAAACTTGGGAGTGTGGAGGGGTGCTGACCTAAGTCACTTTGGGAATGAGTGACACTGGTCAGACTAAGTGAAAAGAGCAGCAGGTACCGCTGCATTCTGCTTGCTAAAGCTATTTCCCACGAGGACATTGGTTAACAATACTGATAGCACTATACATGTATATGAGCCTGAATAGTTACGTAAATGCATGCTGCATGTTGCTACTGGCATGGGAATTCACAAATAAGCAAAGGGAGAAGGACTGAAGTGACCCCTGTGATGTCACTAAGAAATCACGCAGGGAGAGGCAGCTCCATGGTATGATATTATAGATATGTCTCCATATATTCTATGCATGAGTTAATAGACACATATACACTTCCTCGTTCTGTCAACTAAGGGGATCTAGCAAAGCAAGCAGGGTTGGCACCTAGATCCTTTGTTCGTAACCTCATTCCCTGGGGACCCAGAGATCACTGGAGAACTAAGTAGTTCTAGGACCAGGACAGGAAATACACAAATGAGACTAGAATATCTTGCATTCCAGAAAATATGTAGGTGCAAAAAACAAACAACAACAACAACAACAAACCAACACTGCTGTAACACAAGTCTCTCATGGAAAATTCCACAGAAGTCTC